TCCATGTATTTAAACGGTCCCCCGTTTGAACTCTCATGCTTTCAGTACCTTTCTGTTCTTCCAGAAGCTGACATTGGGAGTGCCAAAATGTCTCCCTGATAGAGACACTATGGAATTGTTTTAGTTAAAGTCATTTTAGATATAACATTATCATTGAGGAACCAGTTGTCAGCTGTTGGGTTATCATGACTTTGAAAAATGAATTTTGTGAGAGATACATTTTATAATGTGTTATGATACAGTACACCATTGACTTTTGACTTGTAGGAGTTATAGGTGTTTAAATTTTGTGGTAGCACTTGGAAGGCAGAGGCATGAGGATCACAGGTTTTAGGCCAGCCTGGGCTACATAGTGAGACCCTGTCTCAAAAAGACAAGGGCTGGGGTGTAGCTTAGTGGAGCACTTGCCTAGCATGTGCAAGCTCATGCCTCAGTACTGCAAAAGCAAAACAACAACAAAATCCAACTGTGTGATTGATGAACAGTCACAGGAGTTACAAGAGAATGTTATGAGCTTAGCAAACAGGTTTCAGCATAGTTTCATCAGGATGGAAGGACCTTAAAGGAGAAGTGAATGGCAGACCAGGCACTGTTGCTCGCTGTTTGGTTGTTGCTGTCTATGTCCTTTGTTGAACCCACATTTTCATAGGCTTCCTCGAAGGTAGATTCATTTCTGCTTCATAGTGAAGAAGGAGGCAAATATCATCCATACAGATAACTGACTTGTCTGTATTCTTCTGTCTTTTTACATGATTATGTCTACTGCCTTGTCTTCATTTATAAGCAAAACCTACAAAAATAAATGTTTTGTGGATTATCTAAAAAACAGAAAATATTACTGTTATTTTTTGGTAAATAAAATCAATTTTGTACAGTTCATTTCAATCTAAATAAAATGTGAATTTTGTTTTAAAAAATGGTAATTACTGAAAACAAACTACAGACCCAACACAATTCTTTAATAAGTCCTTGAAAGAATGACATTCAACTTTTTGTGAAAAAAAAAAAAACAGGTTAGCTAAAACAATCCCATACAGTAAAAGACAGACATATCCCACCATTGATTACAAATTCTACTATAGATCTAAAGGTAATAAAACCTGCTTAGTATTGGCACAAAAACAAAACAAGTGGATTAATGGAAACAAATGGCAGACCCAGATGTAAATACACATACCTATGGAGACCTGAATTTTGATAAAGTTGCCAAAATTATTCAATGGAAAAGAAAAAGCATCTTCAGCAAATGTTGCTGGTCTGATTGGATTTTGCATATAGGAGAATACAGATAGACCCATGTCTATCACCCAGTACAAAATTCCTGTCCAAGTGGATCAAAAACCTCAGCATAAATCCAGACATACTTAACCTGATAGAAGACAAAGTGAAAAATATTCTTGAATGCATCCGCACATGAGACAAATTCCTGAAAAGAATGTAAATAGCACAGGCACTAAGATCAATAATTAATAAATGGGACCTCATGAAACTGAAAAGCTTCTGCAACGGAAAGGACACCATCAATGGGGCAAAAGGGTAGCCTACAGAAAAGGATTAGATCTTCACTAATCAAACATCCCACAGAGAGCTGATTTCCAAAATATATAAAGAACTCAAGAAATTGGGTATCAGTAAACGAAATAATCCAATTAAAATTTGGTACAGTTCTAAACAAAGAATCCTCAACAGAAGAATCTCAAATGTGAAAGAAATACTTAAGGAAATGTTCACCATCCTTAGCCATCAGGGAATGGCAAATCTGAAGGACTTGGATTCTACCTTACACTTGTCAAAATGTCTAACATCAAATAGAGAAGCTACAGCTCATTCTGGAGAGGATGTGGTTCAGGGGAAGACTCCCCCATTGCAAGGAGGGCAAACTTGTACAGTCACTTTGGAAGTCAGTGTTTTGGTTTCTCAGAAATCCCAGAATCATTTTAGTACAAGATCCAACTGTAGCACTATTGGGCATAAAACTCAAAGGATGCTCAATCATACCATAAGGACTTGCTCAACTATGTTCATAGCTGCTTTATTTACAATAGCCAGAGTTTGAACACTACCTAGATGTCTGTCAAGCAAGTAATAGATACAGAAAACATGGTACCTTTGCACAATGTTGTGAAAAACAAGGGTGCCAACAAATTTGAAGGCAAATGTAAGGAACTAAATAAACTCAACCTGAGTGAGGTAACCTAGACTCAGAATGCCAAACATGGAATGTACTTATAAGTGGATATTAGCTATAAAATAAAGGATAACTATGCTATAATCTACAGACAGAGACAGACTAGGTAACAAGGAGGGTTCAAGGTGGGGACACCTGGATCTCCCTGGGATCAGGGAAAAGAAGATATTTTATGAATAGGCTATGGGCAGGTGGGGATGGGACCATGAATGAACAGGTTAAGGAGTGGCAGGGGGAGAACTGAAAGAGACAACTGGAAAGTGGGGGAGGGGTTGGGGTCAGGTAAAAACCTGCCACAAGGGAATCTCCCAGGAATCTACAAGGATGAGCCCAGCTAAGACTCCTAGCAAAAGAGGGTAAGTAGCCAGTACTGGCCACCTCCTATGACCAGGTTAAGACTTTAAGTGGAGGGAATGGGAAACCCACCCTGCCACATATTCTTTGACGTGTAGTCTGTCATACTTCTGGGATGTGCTGGAGGAAGGAGAGCCTAGAGATTGATGGAGTGGCCAACCAAGGACTGATCTAGCCTGAGACCCATGCCAGGATAATAAGTCTGGAAGCACTGCTGGGAGCATCAGGCTGGATGACCCTAGAGACCTAGGTAAGAGCCAAACAAGACTTGAGGGGAAATATGCCAATATAATGAATGATGCATGATAATCTACAATGCTCATAGGTTGGTACCTGGCCCAGTTTTCATCAGAGGGGCCTCATGCAGCAAATGATGGAAACATATACAGTCCAATAGCCAAATATTACATAGAGCTCTGGAATCCTACAGAAGACGGGGAGGAAGGTTTATAGGAATCAGAGGGGTCAAGGTCACCAATGAAAACACATAGGCTCAACTAACTTGGGCTCCCTGAACTGACGACCAGGGAGACTGCATGTGACTGATGTAGGCACTCTGCATATATGTTACAGTTGTCTAGTACAGCAGGATTTTTCTTTTGGTCTACCACCCAGCCAATTCCCAAATCAAGACTCCAGACTTATTCTTACTTACGAATTCCTGGGCTTAGCTTAGCTTATTTCTAGCCAGCTTTTCTAATTTAAATAATCCCATTTCCCTTTATCTATGTTTTGCCACAAGGCATTTTACGTTCATTTACTTTTGTATGTATAACTTTTCTGGTATTTCCATGTCTATCTGTCTGTCATCTTCCTGACCCCTACACTCTCTGTCTGCTTCTCCTCTCCTTACTTTCCCCAGCCAAGATTCCTTTGTTCTCTCTGCCTGCCAGTCCTGCCTCTCCTTTCTCTGCCAGATATTAGCCATTCAGCTCTTTATTAAACCTATGAAGTACCTTAGGCAAGCAAGTTAAAACAGCTTTTCATAATGAAACAAATGAAACATAAACAAATTTAAGACATTTTTACACAATTAAGGTAATATTCTATGGCATAAACAAGTGCAACATACCTTAAAATATTATTTCCCAACAGGGGCATTTGTTCTTCTTGTGAAATTCCTAACAGTAGGAGCAGGGGCTGTCTCTAACTCTTTTACTTGGTATTGGTGCCCTACTCCTCAGCCCTAATACATGGGCAGTGCTTAGTCTTATTGAAAATTGATATGACATAATTTGTTGATACTCAGGGAGAACTGCCCTTTCCTAAACAGAAACAGGGGAGTAGAGTGAGGGGTGGAAACACACAGGTGGGGTGGGAAGAGATTTTTCGAAGAGTGGAGAGAGGGGAAACTGTGGTGGGTATGTAAAATAAATAAATGTATTAAAAAAATAAATCCAGGACACTTCTCTGTTCCATTCAGTTTCACTGCCAGGTGTGTTGCAAAGAATAAATTACATGTTTCTCCATGAAATCCTGGATTATTTAATTTACTGAATATTTTATAGGAAAGGGAGCAATCTTTCTTTCTATTTAAACTTAATATAAATGAACATTTAAATAAAATTAATTGATGCTTTAGTAACTTTAAAAGTCTATATACTTTTAGGTATATTTTAATTTAATTATCTCACAGAGAGCAGCATGCTAGATGTGCTATTGGATTCACTGCTTTCAAAGCAAACCTTCACATCTGCTCTGCAGACAACTTCAAGTCCTGCTTTGACTCAACCAGACCAGAGAATGAGCTCTGTCAGCCTTGCCAGCATCTGACTTTGCTACCCAGATACTGCGAACAACAGAGATCAGTTACAGGGTGGAGGGGGAACAACACAGGAAACGACTCCTACACAAACTCATTCTCTTTTATAACCAATTTGACAAGTGAAAAAAATTTCCACTAATCATAAATGAGAAACTGTGAGGACATTGCTAATACATGTGTAACCTTCATATGAATTTTAATTTATTATACCTTAAAACAGTTCAGGAGATAATTATAAATTTGTACTAATTTTATAGATTCAAGGATACGGAATTCAGGAGAAAAATACTTGGTAGCAGAAATGTGTGTCCTGTCTCTAGGTATAGCCTATAAACCAAAGCCAATGCTATAATATAATGCTTAGAATTTTCATGTTAGTCAGATAAAGCAGAGAGGATGCTCTTATTGATCAAGCTTATTAAGAATCTGAACAGCGTTTTTGTATTATTTTTAGATAGTAGAGTTGCAGCATTCAAGCTTGTAAAACAAATCCTGTGCCTTTGGCTGTCTTCAATTGTTTCTCTGGTTGGACCTTGCAGGGGGAAAAACTGGCAATTGCTCTAAATTTTAAACAAAACACTCATCAAGACACAAGCAGAAATTCAATACTTTCTGAGAATTTTCGGCCCATCCCTTCCACACCAAATTGTAACTTTATAGCTGGTCCCTAGAAGGGGGTGGATCATACTGGAAGTTTGACTTGTAGCTACTTTCACTTTCTTTTATAGCTGCTACAAGCAGAGGAGACTTGAGGAAGCAGAGGGGACTTGAGGAAGCAGATGAAAACTGTGCTCTCTGAGGAGAATCCTAGCTGCTGCATCTAAAGGGTAAGAGCCTCTTATACTAGTCAACACCACAAACAAACCTTAATTGCCTGCTGGCAGAAATCTGGTGGTAGTAGTGGTGGAAACTCATCCTCTCATGTGATGCCTGAAGATTTTTCTAGGTTAATAGTGCATAAATGATCTCTATTTCAGGTTCATATTCCCTCTCGTTTCTCTCTCTCCCTTCCTCCCTCTTCTTCTCACTTCTTCTGTAGCTTATAAAATAGGATTTTTGTTGCTTTTTGTTCTTGTTTTTTCTTTTCAGTTTTTGTTAGGTTTGTCCTAAGAAAATGGGGATTTCATCTCTACACAACCTGATCCATTGCAGCCCATAAATCCTTCTCTATAGACATCTAAAAGTTTGAAACTGTGCCTTTGGTGAACATCTGGCACTGGAGGTCTTAGATAGAGAGCCTATAGATTAAATGACTATTCTTCATTCCAGGCTGAAATCACATTTCAGGGCTTGAAGCACAGATTCTCCCTCTCCCTGGAGCCTTAAACACCAGGGTGTGGTGGGCTGACTCACCCTGCTTCCTGACAGTCATTGAGCTGCTAGTAACTGACATGACTGTTAGTCTACAGCTGCATCCACTTTGAAGCTGTAACTTTAGTCACCCCTGGATACAGTCTTCTCCACAAGGCCTTTCAACACTTGCAACAATCTGCAGACAAAGGAAGGATCAGGAGAGGGTGACACATTCATTGAGATAAATTTGTTCTGAGGTTGGAATCAGGAAATCAATGTCTCACTATAGGGGAGCCTTGTCCTCCTCTTTTCTCAGTCAGCCTCCTGCAGTGGCCACTGACAGCCTGAGATCTCTGCTGCCAGACACAGTCCATCCTCAGCTGAGCTGCTCCTGGGTGACTGTGGCTCTAAGCTTCCTGGTATTGTCAGTAGAAAATCTCCTCCTGCTCCAGGCCCCTCTACAGGCTCCCAGGGAAAGTCCTTCCCAGGGCTTGCTGTGCCCATCCTCTTTGCTTAGCTGCTACCTCTGTGCTACTAACAAGTTCTGAGCCATTCTAATGCTGTCAGACTTTTCCAATAGTTCAAAATAGCAGGTATAGAAAATAGCTCATTATCTTATAGATTTGTGTGACTGATGTAAATTGTATAGAAAACACCACTGATATCAGGGGGATGGTTTCCAGGGAGACTTAGGAGGTATCCCCAGCCTTCCACATGATCTAGGGTTAGAGAGGGAACTCAGAATTTTTCACAAGCTGGCAAATTCTTTTGCACTGTGCCATAATCCTGTCTGAGAGGTTTAAATAGTCATTGGGATCAGCCTGAAGGACCTAGCAACAGGCCCCCAAGGCCTTCAGAATTGCTGATGTGGATTGCCCAGGAATGGAAAGCTGATCCTTCAAGAGGGTTTTCCAGCTTGTAGATCCTAAAGTGAAAGTTAGGCTTCTAGGTGGACTGAACAAGCATAATGTTGCTCCCAGTCGTGCCACTTTGGGTCCTTAGGATGTCTTTCCAGAGAATTCATCCTTGTTGGTGTTAAATACTGTGGCCACATACAGTGACAACAGGGAGAGGCAAGGTAGCAAGTGCTAAGGTTTAGAAAGTCCCAGAACAACTTCCAGATTTATATGGGACCATGATTGGGATTAGCCCAATATCTAGATTCTGTGGATAAAATAAACATCTTAATCATAAATTGGAAAAATCAATCCATCTCTTTGTCTTAATATTACATGCAAGATTGCACAGAATCCTAATTTATGAAATACATTTAGGAAAGTCTGTTTTAAAATAAAGAAAAATATGTACATATATCACCTTTATACATGAATGTGTCTTTTAAAATATCAATATTTTAAATTTTAAAATATCAATTTATTCTTTGAAAAATTTATAGGTGTGTGCAATACATTTGATTATATCACCTTGAGTCTCACCTTCTAGCTTATCCTGCCCATTAAAAGGTCCTTCTTCCAAAAGCATATCCTTTTATTTTTATCTTAACCTATTGAATCCAAGAGCACTAGCAATGTGTACATAGGTTCAGGGTCTCCAACTAGAATGTGGGCAACCTACCAAGGACCAAATTAAAAAATGTCCCACTGCAAAGAGATTACAAATACAAATATACTCAGGTATGTTTTGGAATGTATGTGCTGAAATATTGACTGGTTTGATGGTGAAAACCTTGTCCAGTTAACAGCACCTGTTTTGAGTTCATAGCTACAACGGCACTATCATGGACAAAAGACTGTGTTTAACAGTAGTCCTCTGTGACCTTGGTCTCTTAGAAACATTTTGACACTTGTCTTTGTTTTATGAGCATTGGTTGCAATATTATAAGTGTTAGAAGGCAGACCTGAAGATCTCAATGGTCACAGAGAGCTAAGGAGATCCCAGTCACTTGTTTTCTGTCTTCATTGGACCAGTAGTGAGTCATATTGCAATTTCTTGAAAGTAAATATAAAACCCAAAACTGTGGGTAATTTCAATATTAAATATTAAAGGTAAGTGATTAAGTAAGAGAAATATAATGTAGGATGCCATTTGAATCTCACAGATATTCATGGGAAGACCTGGGAATAGGGGCTGAAGAGGTGGTTCAGGGTTTCAGAGCTCTGCTTTCTCTTATGGACGACAAGAATGCAAGTTCCAGCTCCTACATGGCACCTCAGAACCATCTGTAAATACAGTCCCAGTGAATTTAACAACCTATGCTTTGTGTAACATGTTATATGTAAGAGTATATTTCTGCATGTGATGCATAAACATACATGCAGACAGAGACTCTTGCATATAAAATAAAAGTAAATAAAATACTAAAATTGGTTCTTATTGTGGATGGAAAATGCTGAGGTTTAGTTAGGAAACCTATCCAAGATCTGGTGGGCAGTTCATTCAACACCTTTTGTAAATGTAGTACAGTGTTTAAAGCACTTGCAGGTATTTTAGAGAAATCCAGTTTAATGGACACTTACAGCCTAACCACCTGAGCAGCATGAATCAGGATTTTCACTACTGGCATCTCTCCTCCTTTTCACCACTTATCCTTATTTCCACACTAAGAATTTGAAACTGATCCTGCAAAAGAAAAGCACATAAACTACAGTTATTGGTGGTATAATTTCTAACGTGGACCACTTAATGATGTGTCATTTCCACAGACACGGACAGTCAACATGGAACATCAGTGTGGTCTAATCACTGGTGACAAGGAGCCAGGTAAGCCTGACATACTACTCTTACTCATGAGATCATTGTACTGAGCACAGTTTCTCATCTATGGTGTCACTGCAGTAAATTTTGCTGGTTTCCTAAACACTGATATCTTCCCCAGTACCACTGAAGAGCATCTCAGTAACCTTGTCCATTGATGACTTTGTGGCTGGTGTGTCTGCAACCTTAAATTATGAAAATAAAGAAGAAATCCCAGTAGAGGCAATCTTTGTGTTCCCTTTGGATGAAGACTCTGCTGTCTACAGCTTTGAAGCCTTGGTGGATGGGAAGAAAATTGTGGCGGAACTGCAGGAGAAGACACAGGTATTGTTTGATGATGATGATGACTGTCACTTCTTTAATTCACTTCTACTCACCATTTTCCTAAAACCAATAAGGCAGAAGGAATCAAGTAGAAGCTACCAGAATAATTGTAAAGTCCATAGGATATATGACACACCCTCTAAACAATACATATTTTCTTGATTTCAAGTAAATTAATTTCAACCCTCCCTGCCCTTGTAGGCCCAGAGCAAGTATGAGGGTGCCATCTCCCAGGGCCACCAAGCTTACTTATTGGAAGGGGATGACTACTCCAGAGATGTCTTTTCTTGCAATATTGGGAACCTTCTACCTGGGGCTAAGGTGGGAGTTACACTGAGGTATGTCCAGGAACTACCTCTGGATACAGATGGTGCCTTGCGCTATGTCCTCCCAGCCATTTTGAATCCAAGATACCAACTCTCTGGTAAGTAATTTCAGCCTTTGAAAAAGAGTGGTAATACAGCTGGGGGGTACACCAAATTATGTTTGTGTTGGAAATTGTTGCCATGGGAAACAGAAGTAATGTACTTTTTTTATAGAACAGTCAGTCAACAGTTCTTTGAATATGAAGACGCCCATAGTCCCTTTGGAGGCCCTGCCCTACACACTCAGCATGGTTGCCACCATCACTTCCCAGCATGGCATTGAGAGGGTCCAATCCAACTGCTCCTTGAGTCCTATTCAGTACCTTGCTGAAGACAAGACTTCTGTTCAGGTGAATAGAAAGATATCACTACTTTATGTCCCCTCTGTCCTCATCATTAACTTTGTCATCATTCATTCCTCCTATGTCCCCCTTACTTTTTCCTTTCATGCTTGGAGAGGCACACTATCCTCATTCTCAGATAAGTTGTAGACTCTTTTTCATACAGTCTTTTCTGTACTTCTGATTGTGTCTTGATGGAAGAAGCCTGGGACCCTGTACTCTGACCTTATCTCAGGAGCAATCAGTGGCAGTTCTAACATGGCTACTCTGCTGGTCTCCTCCTCAGGTTTCCTTGGCTGAAGGACACAAGTTTGACCGGGATGTGGAACTCCTGATTTACTACAGTGAAGTGCACAGCCCCAGTGTAGCTGTGGAGATGGGGATGCAGGACATGAAGCCAGGTATTTCCTGTCTCCCACTATGGTCCCTTTCTAAGATGTAACTCTCCATCAGTCCTGATTTTCAATTCTCTATCCAGGATCAGTGTATGACCATTGAAATTTTGACCTTTCACTTCCACATGGAAACATGACAAAGCTTAATAGGTAATCAATGATCATGTCCTATAGGTTAATTTACATAGATTATTAGATCATTAGAGGGAGAGTATGACCAATACCTCACAGGAAAACATGTGGCCCATTATCAACATGTGACAATGACTGGTCTTACAAAAATGGCAAATCAAAGTAATCCAGTGACTACTTCTCCTTCCATAGGATCAGTGATGTCCAAATCTGTTAAAGTCTTATCCTGCACATGGTGAGGTGACTTTAAAATGTCAGATTGTGTTGAAACAAATCAGTTTGTATCAAATGTTTTGAAAGTATTTGTGCTGCAAATAGTAAATATTCATTTTCACTATTCTAATACTTGTAACATTTCTTCTGAAATAAATCTAAATGTCTACATGATATGCAGATGATATTTACTGAATTATAATAGTATCCAAGATTAATAAATAATGAAAACATGTAATACAGTCACTATTTGTGTCATCAATTACATAATGAGTTATGATTTCAGTTTTATAATAATGTAAATTAACAAATTGTTGATTTATGTAGACCTTATCTAAATAATGGGAAAGGAAATGTAGTCATGATTCCTAATAGCACTATAAAATGATAGTTGAATTAAGAAAAAACCTTTATTGTAATCTATGCAATATACAAATTGGTGTTTTCTATATGAATAATAATTACACTTTATGTTTTATTAATTAATTAATCACAACTGGATGTGATCTTGCTGCCAGTTCTTATTACTTATTTGACTTATGATTAATAGTGACCATATTTGACACAGAATTAGTTTTAGTTTTCCTGTGTCCTATAGAAAATGATCTTTGAAACAATCTCAAGAGCCAAGGAAAAACTATTTATTTGTATCCCACTTTTTTTTTTCTTAGACTAAACTTAAATTTCCATCAAATTGTATTTTTTTATCTACACTGAGTGATTTTCCCTTAAAACATTTCCTTATATATATACTTAACTTTTTTAAAGCTGGCACAGTGCGCATGCCTGTTTTGTTTTTGTTGGATTTTATGGCCATTCTGCACTTGGTTGCAGGTGTCAACACTCAACCCAAGAAGGGCATTACAAATATTCATTTCCAGGTTGTATAAATGGAAGCTCCTTGTGGGCCAACCATATTCATAGTGTGGCATCTGGGCTTGGGCTTTGCTGCTGGAACTGTAAGCACTGTGAGAACTTTACCATGAACCTGGGTTTGTGTACCTAACTCCTACCAATATAACATTATCTATATTTGACAAAGGTGACTTCATAGTGAAACATATGTAGGGGATTTTTCTTCTTGCCTCACTTTCTAGTCTCTCCCCTCTGAGGTCACTAAGTGAAATTCCCAGCTTCTGTGGGCTTCTGGTAACTTCCTCATCTCCCTGTTACTCTATACTCTGTATTTGGTGTTGATTTCTTGATCTTCTTTTTGGGTGTTATGAAATATTGAAACTCAGACTTGGTCTTCAGTCAGAAATATTTTTTATCCATGATAGAGAAACTTGAGATGCTGCAAATTAATATGTAATAACTGAGGTCTCAGTTTCTCCTTTTCTGTGACATTTCCTTGGGTCCATGAAGATTTTCTCAGGTCTATTCCATGAGAAGATTTACAGGCTATCAGGGGACATAGTTGGTCATATCTCAGTCTTGGTAATTCCTTTGATCTATGATTCCCGGTTCCTGCTTCTCTGGGCTCATATTTTGCCAGATGACTTCCAGTTCACAAAGACTTCAGAAGCACCAGGGAAGCAGAAGAGGCAGCTTGGCTCACCAAAATCCTTTAATGTGATCATGATACACAGCACTATGTGGACTAAATGATATGTTAATCGAAGATTGTATAATTACACAACATTTAAAAGAAATTTTATAAAATTATAATTAACCTGTGAGTGTGAATTAAGTCCTACCCTGAATTCAGTGAACATATTGGATCACCTAACCTTACCATAACACTATAGTGGGAATAACTACCTTCATAAGTGAGAAGAGGAACCTGAGGCTAAGAAGTTGAGGTGTTCATTTATGAACAAGGAAGCTCAGATTTATGAAGTGAAATCACTTGAAATGTTTTGAAAGAACTAGTAGACACCATACATGGAGTGCTGACCACTACCTACAGGACCTTGTTCTAAACTGTGTGAACATCCATTCCCACCAGTCTCATGGGCTTCTGGTTTCTCAGAAGAGTGCTAATGCCATGATAACCACCTGTCTCTCAGGGTGGGAAGAAATCTATTTACACATTATAAACAATGCTCACTTACATAAGGTGTATATATAAAGAATAGGATATGATTCATATTTATAATATTTTCACCCCATTTCTAAGGCAACATTCCTTAGAAGCCTGCTCTTGGAATGTCATTTTTAGCATTAAATATTTGAGCATTATTTTCCCCCAAGGGTCCAATTTAAGATGTAATCAGTGACGTGACCCATATGATCACTTTCCCATCCACAAAATTTGAAGAGATTTTCCTCTGTTAGTAATCTTAGCAGTATCTTAATCTCATGCTGGAAGCTGCTAGCTGATGTGTCGTATTCAATTGTTTAGATGCCTAGAGTTTGCACACACAGACACTCCTGTGTTATTGTATATTGAATCCTACCCTTTGCCCTTCCTCTCCCCCTGTTCTGCTTCTTTTTTATGGTGGTAATTCACATTTATTCCTGTGCACAGAGCACAAGAAGCAGAAAGAAGGCATTTTAAATTTGAGATTCTCATTTCTTTATGAAGTGAGAAATGGGTCTTGGAATCTCTAGGACACCTGGGTTTTCTTGTATTTTTACAGGGTTCTTCTCCTTTCTGTACAGATAGTTTGATGGGTTCTCCTTCTGCAATGGTGAGTTTCTATCCAGATCTCCCAGAAGTGGAGGGTTCAAGGGCCTGTGGAGAATTTGTATTCCTCATGGACCGCTCTGGAAGTATGGGATCCCGCTTGAGCCACCACAATGATTCTCAGCTACGCATAGAGGCTGCCAAGGTAATGCCACTTTCTTCATCCTTCTGCAATGCTAGGTTGGGATGATTGGGAAGGGCATGAATAGGGCCCATTTTGATCTGCAGGTCTGTTCTCCATCTGAGAAATAACAAGCATGGTACTCTGGTCTCAGCCTTGAAATACAAGTTGGCAGGAGATGATGACTTTTTATACCATGAGTAACTAGACTGAGGTCAGTATGTTGTGTAGAGACCAATTCACTCCACCTCCTCATCTTCTCTCATCTTCAGGAAACTCTGTTGCTGTTGCTGAAGAGTTTACCTATGGGTTGTTATTTCAACATCTATGGATTTGGATCTTCTTATGAAAAATTCTTTCCGTAAGTTTCTGGGAAGACAGTGGAATGTAAAGAATGTACTTTAAAGAAGTGTCTTCACTTTTAATCTGACTAGTGCAGAGTAGTCCTTTGCATTGGGGTTTTCAGCAGCAATTTTTATGACAGGAATTTTTCTGATAGGAATAGCAATGTGTGCTTTGCCATGTAATTAAACATGCTTGTTTCTCTAAGGGAGAGTGTGCTGTACACTCAGGAAACAATGGAAGAGGCAGTGAAAAGAGTGAAGGATCTGAAAGCTGACCTAGGGGGCACTGAAATCTTGACACCACTCCTCAACATTTACAAGGGACCCTCCATTCCTGGCCATCCCTTACAGGTGAGCTTTGATAGCAAGCTAGTAGGGATGAATTTTCCACTTACCTGATACCCAGTTCTCCCATATACAATTGTGTAAATAGTGTGTAAACTTAAGTCATCTACCTTACATAGAAGAGAAAATGACCAGAGGCAGTGTTTTTCCTCTATTCCATAGGATAGGCAGTCAGCCCTCTTTTGTGCTCCACAAAAGTTTAAGATCAAAGGTGCAGAGGAAGGGTGTGAAATTCTTTCCATTACACAGTCTCTGTGCCAGCATAGAGCAAGTTACAGCAGAGAACTGTGGTCCCCACCCCTGTGTGAAGAAGCTACAAAGGCTAGAAAGGAACAATGCTCTTGTCTTCTGATGAACTGATAAAATCTTAATGAATGCATATTTTCTCCAGCTCTTTGTCTTCACAGATGGAGAAGTTGATGACACATTTAGTGTTATTAAAGAAGTTAAGTTAAACAGCAAGAAGCACAGGTATGAGGAGAGTATGTTTTCTATTGTGCTGCCTGGAGCCCAAGCAGCACCACACATGACTTGTTCCATGTTGTATCACGGGATCCCATGCTTCTACAAGGACAAAGTGACTCAAGGATTTTCCACTTTAGCTGACCCTTTAATTTCTATAAAATTATAGAAAGTAGGTTTCCACTTAACATTGATATCACAAGGCCATTGTTCCTTATTTTTACAAAGCTCTTATGCATATATTGAGTTATGTTTACATTATAAATGTATTGACATGTTACAATAGAAACTTAATCAAGTCATTTTTTTCTGGGCAGATGAGCTGTCACAGTGTGAACTCTGCATCCAACACAGGTCCAGAGAAGGACATTTATCAGTCTTGTCTTGCTGTCTTTCCATCAATCACTAGTTTAAGCCTAGATCAAGGGTAATTTTTGTGGATTATGTGAAATCCTCTTGAATTGGTATCATACTGAGTTTCATGGTATGTGTGTCTTTCTGTATGCCTCACCTTTACTGTTTATCTCACCAGTTTATTCAGATGTACACACAATTTGCATGTGACCATAGGCAAGTTTCATAAGTGGATGTTTTTAATGAAGTTGTTCAGTTGAATTTATATTGATGATCATAACCATGGATTTTCTTTGAGCTCTGTAGTGGTTGTATTACATATCACAAGACATCTCCTGAAGATTTTGTTTATTGGGAGGACATGAGTAAAGGCACATGTTTCCGTGTATTTACAAGGGATCCTGGAACCCAACTCCACACAAAATAAAAACACAGTCACATGACCTTACCCAAATGTACTGTTCTTTAAGTAGACAGAGTTGTCCAAATTCTATGGAATGGCAGTTTTGCAAGTTGTAGCGATTTATCTCACATAGCTTTACAAATAGTTCCCACATATTTGAGTATTTTTATTCTTAAATTTTACCCAGTTTATTCATGGGACCAAAGTGCCTCAGAGCTTAAATTTTATTTTCCTAATTGCTGTACTATTCTACTTTTAATATTTAATAGCCATTTGTTAGCCTCTTTTTATATTCCTCTAAAGGTCTATACTACTATTATTGTTTTCTCTAGTAGATTTTCTTTTCTTACTGATATGTAATTGATTTTATGTTTTGAATATGAATATGTTGAAGACTATTTTCTTACTCAATAGCTTACATTTTCACTATTAAGACTGTTTTTAAAGCTAGGCTTCCTTAGGCAGTCCTGATTATTAAGGAACTCCTTTACTAGACAAAGCTGTCCTCTGTGGGTGTCCTTCTGCCACACAAGTATTTGCCATTTGAATTTCTATTCTCTGAGGTTTCTCTTTTGGATTATGAATTTTTTCTCTATTCAAGCTATGCAGATGATTTTACCTTTGCTATCAAAGGATTTTGTTCACTGTATTGGTTATCAGATATATATATATATATATATATATGTGTGTGTGTGTGTGTGTGTGTGTGTGTGTGTGTATGTATATATATACATATATATATAGAGAGAGAGTACTATCTCTCCTCACACTTTCCCATCTCCCTCCCATCTCCATCAATCTTCCCTTCCTTACCTGTGCTTTTCCTAGGTTTGTATATTTTTGTTTTATAGTTTGACCAATTTTGTTCAGTGTGTGCCTTCTGTGTAACTACTGGATTGGGACTTTCAATAGAATCCTGGTGGGTGTACTCTTAGGTATACAAAAGAAAGTTATGAATTCCCCTTTCTCTAAATCTTCAGAAGTTACTCTTACAATGATCATGCAAGTATTACATCACTGAATATATTGTCCAGGCAGACTACTCTGTATTTTGTAGTGTCAATTGTTTCTAATGTGACTGTTTGAATCCAATGGCCATTGATACAAATGTATTCCACGACTAAACCACACAAATTAATCATCTCTCTACTATTTCTAGATCTCCAGTGCACTAGAGTATCCATTGTGCTCATTATCAGGATTTCCTTCCTTCCTTTCTTCCTTTCTTCCTTCCTTCCTTCCTTCCTTCCTTCCTTCTTTCTTTCTTTCTTTTTTCATTCCTTCCTTTCTTCCTTCCTCTCTCCCTCCCTTCTTTTAATTCCTAGTCATGGTTTTCCTGTGTAGACCTTGGCTTGCCTGGAACTCTTTATGTCTTAAACATTGCCCTCAAACTCATTGAGGGCATTTATATTGGTTTCTGCCTCCTGATTATTTGTATTATACGTGTGAACCTTCATGGCATGTGTACAAAATTGTTTCCAATACACACACACACACACACACACACACACACACACACACACACACACACACACAAAGACATATATGTGTTTGTGTATGTGTGTGTGTTTATCTTGAAAATATTCAACAGAAAAATCTTTTTGCATAGTGATTAGAAAGACATTGATCCTGAGTGCATATAATCCAAATCCAAATATATATATATATTAGAAGTCTACAAAAACATGATGAAGATTTATGAACTCACATTCAAAGGACAAAGATATACTCTAAGTAATCACCCTAAAACAACCTCAATCATTAAATTATATGTAATGTTCATATAATATCCTGTGAGACTAGAGACAACATTTCATAATTTTTCCACTAAAGTATTTCATAGCCATTTTTTTCTGTTCCAGGAGTTAATATGAAGAACTATTGCAGGAATAGTTTCTTTGTATTTTGAATTAGAATTAGAATTATTTTCATAGAATCGCTGGTTTTAATTCATATTTAGGATAATAGAGGTTATTTTTTGACATAAGTATTCCAAAATCAGCTATGTGTTAAGTGATATTACCTTGACTATCTATCTAAAGGTCAGCATCTGACAGACTAATTTACAGGAGTGGACACATGCTGTCAAGTAATGTTTACTCAGTAGCTTTAAATTTCACACATGAGTACCCAAATTAGTAATTACTTGAGAAAAAAAATGATTAATGACTTTTCCTCCTTGTCCTCCTTCATGTCTTCCTCCTCATCCTCCTTTACCTCATTCTTGTCCTTGTCATCCTCTTTGTCCTCCTTGTCCTCCTTCTCATCCTCTTCCTGTTCCTATTGTCCTTTAATGACAATTGTGTTGGTGACTTAATGTCCAGTCCTGCATAGGCCTGTTCAGAGCTTCACCTCCCATTCACATAGTGGCTTGTAAATTCACTGTTTGCACATGCTAGCATGTCATGTTCCTTCTTTCCCTCCTTTCCTTCTTTCTGCTTTATCAGTGTATTCTCCCTGATTCTTGCATTGCTTTCTGATATATTATGACACTGCATAATTTGCCTAAGGCTACAAGAAACTCATGGTGACCAGTTTAGAAACTAGAACACACTTTTATGTTCTTTTATGCTTTGTAACAAATTTAAGTATATGTTCCATAAGTTGTACTTAAGTTTATTGTATCTTGTTATGTCATGTTAATAGGCCTGTACTTTTCTGAAAGGAAATGGGGGATGAGTGGATCTGGGAGATAGAGAGAATAGGCGAGAACTGGGTGGAGTGGTGGGTCTCAATGTAACATATGAGAGAAGAAGAAAAATAAATTTTACTCTTACCCATACTTTGTGACCTTGTAGTAAAACATTTCTACAAGTAGCCTTACACTGAGAGTAAACAAACAAAATTTTGGTTATGCAGGACTCCTGTAAAGGGATGTGATTGATTGCAGACTTGTTAGCATACATAATGGGAAAAGTTTTAAAAATATTGCAAATTTTGATGACTCCTATATTTCCAAGGCAACAAAATAGGGTTTTTATCTGAAGGTATTCCTTCTTGCTGAGACTCCTACTTTCCATGGCTTCTGTAATTTCACTTATTCCATTATCTGTCAGAGTTTTCAGAGTCTCTCAGAACTAATTCATAATTCTATGTAGACATTTTCATTAGTTTTCAATTCTTCTATGCTATAGTAAGAAATAGCTGCCAATTTAAAAATTTTTAATTGAAACATAAAAAAGCATAAAATTGTATAATTTATGGACAATTCACCAGGCTTCATACACATCATTTATTTAGAGATATTCAGAACAGGTTAAACATATTTATATCTTCAAATATATATATATATATATATATTTCAAAATTCTTTTCTTGTACTTTGAAATGGATAAAATATAATTATTATCCATATTTAGCAGTACATTTTTTATTATTTGCCAGGCATTTATGTCTGTTACAGAAATTAATTCATAAGCTTTTATTTTTCCCCTGAGTTTCTGGTCTTTGGCTTTGCATAGTGAATATGTCAATTCCAGGAGGTACTTGCTAATACTTCTAGATTTCTTCCCTCCTTCCCATCCTCTCTCACTCCCTGCCTCCCTCTTCTCCACTCATCTATCTTTCTTTCTTGACACTCACACCATAAAGCAGTCAGGACTCAGTTATGCTATGCAGCCCACACTGGCATTAAATTCACCTTTCAGCTTCATCCTCTCACTGCTAAGATTCCAAGCATGCTCCAAAGTCACTGTTGTCCTCTTTTGGCCAGACATTTTGAACCATTACTTCTCTACAAAGCCTAGGGCCTATGTCTTTTGAGCCTCCGGTCAGTGTGCCTCAAATACTGAGATTATAATTTTGTGCCTTCATGCTTCCTTACTTTTACATTTTCTATAATAACACTTTTCATTTTCTTTGTATTCATTTTCCAAGTTCTTATACTTTCTTTATCCCTTCTATTCTGATTTTCATGAAAGAAAACACAAAGAATTAGATTGGAAGTAATCATAACTGTCATGATTACTGTTTTTTACCATATATTAAAAATTATACCATTGAGTATAATGAATGATATAAGGATTTTAATTGTTTTGATGTTATTTGCAATATCTTATTATTTTTGTTGACAAAATAGAAAGTCTCTTTCTCTGTCTCTCTAACTGTGTGTGTGTGTGTGTGTGTGTGTGTGTGTGTGTGTGTACTCACAATGTGTAATATTTGAGTGTGTGAATGTGATTAATAAATTATCCATAGAATTGCAACAAATGAATTTTATCCACTTGTTGAGGTAAGTGGTGATTTTATCCTG